TGATGGAAAATATCCTTCAAGTCTATTTGAGGATCTCCATGTCATGAGTGAATGGGTGGCTCATCCTTTCAGCTTCAAACAATTACCATAGTGTCAGGGATTGAATCGCAATCCCATGTTGGAGTTGAAACCCCTAGCACCTCAAAATGTGACCTTACTTGCAAATAGGGTCTTTGGCATTAATCAAGTTAAAATGAGGCCATTAGGGTGGGCCCTAACCTGAAATGACTGGTGTTCTTATAAAAAGAGGAAATTTGGACAYAGATATGCAGAGGCAAGATGACATGAAGGCAGGGGACTGGAGAGCCGCATCTATGAGCCAAGGAAGGCCAAAGATGGCCAGGAAACCACCAGAAGCTAGAAGAGAGGCCCAGAATAGATTCTGACACCCCACTGACACCTTGATCTCAGACTTCAAGTCTCCTGAACGGTGAGACGGCACATTTCAGTTACGTCAARCCCCTCGGTTCATGATCCTGTGTTACAGCAGCCCTGGGAAACTAATTTGGACAGCAAGCTCTTTTCCCTGTGCTGTACGGCTGAAAGAGACCAACAAAGTCCCAGAAGAAAGAAGCCTCTGAGGTCCTCCGGATTCAAGGTGATCATCCCCACTGCGGACCACCAGGAGAACAAGAGCCACTGAGCAGCCGATAGTCTAGGGCCCGTGTAGGCACATCATATTTTCTCTTCCCACTTTATCCTTCCAATACTGTCAAGTGGGAGTGCTCATCACTCCCATTTAAAAAAAAAAAATACAGAGGAGCAGAGGAGATAGAGGAGCATTTAAATAACTTGGCTAGGACAATGCAGGCAGGACCTGCACCTGGCAAGGTGAGATGTGTGTTGTGCCACACCACCTCTGCATGAAGGCAGGGGACTGGAGAGATACAAGGACAGAAGCCACGCAGGACAGCTACAGGTCCTTCCCAGAGGCTCAGGGTGTTGTCACCACATCTTTGCTCTGTCCCCCTGTATTTTAGACTATGAGGCTCGCTGGCCAGGGAGAGGCTGTGTTTTCCTGGTTTCTCTCACTGAGAAACAACGCTGCAGGGAAATAGCCAAACTCTCTGCGAGGATAAGCTGTAAAGAATCATCAAGTACTTTAAAAGCCCTGATTCGAGCAAATTTTCATCTTGCACAAAGCACTTTCATGTATGTGGCCTACAGCACAACCACTCAGGTGGGAATTCTAGTCATTCCTCTGTACTCACAGGCTCCAYGTCACGGATTCAACTAAGTGGGAATCAAAAATATATTTCAACCAAGTGGAAATCAAAAATATATATAAAATGTTGCATATGAACTGAACGTGCACATATTTTTTTCTTGTCATTATTCCCTAAACAATTTGGTATAGCAATGATTCACACAGCATCTGCATTGTATAAGGTATTATTGATTGTCTAGAGATGAGTACACTGGAGGACGGGTGTAGGTTTCATGCAAATACTAGGACATTTTACATAAGAGACTTGAGCATCCACAAGTTCTGACAACCTTGGGTGGGAGGCATTGGGAGGGGTCCAGGAACCCATCCCCTTTGTCTGTATTTGAAGGAGTGACGCGTTGCTTTGTGAACTATCCTTAGTTGTGATTGCCCCATACATCACTCTGATGTGGAAATTCTGCCAAATGGAACTTATTTACAAGGAAGGACGCCTGCAATTTTTACCTAGACGGGGTTTCTACTGCGGATGTTTTAGGTGATATTCTGGTACAGAGTTGGAGTAAAACATTTTCCACAAATGTTTTCTGACTCAACTCATCTTGCAGTTCATTTTTTTTTCCCCCTCTGGATGCTCCTCTTGGCAGGGATGGAATTTCTCAACTCCCTTGTCAGGAGATTATCTTTCCAATCAGATTGTGTTGATGTTGGATAATCTGTAAAGACCCTACTTCCAAATAAGGTCACATCGTAAGGCTCCAGGGAGGACAACTCAGCCATTCCAGACTCTCTCGTGGCTCCTGGTGGGGGGGACACACTCCAGATCCCCAGGGATCACCCCAGAAGGGCTGCTGCTCAATGCCTGCCAGATGGGCRAGTGGCCTTGACCCAGACTTGGACACGCAGACAGAACTGATTCCGATGATCGATTCCTGCACTCCACTGCATTTTGCTAAAAACCTGGACTCCAGAGCCAGACTGCCTGGGTTGAAATCCCTATTAGGGTAGGTCACTTGCCCCTGTGCCTCAGTTTCTCCCYCTGTAAAATGGGGATCGTGGTCACAGGGCTGTAGTGAGGACTAACTGATGTGTTTTTAAACACTTAGATCAGGGCCTGGCACGTAGCAGGTACTGTATTAAGTGACCTCTCTGGTTATTTGTGCCACTGCTGCTTTTGTTATTATGAATTCAATTAGCCAACACGGATTGGGGACCATATGTGTGGAGTCAGCTGGACAGGGTTCAAATCTCAACTGTGCTACTTCTTTGCTGAGTGACCCTGGACATTTGACTTAACCACTCTGTGGCCTGGTTTCCTCCTCTGTGAAATGGAAATAATAAAACTACAGATGTCATAGGCTGGGGTGAGGATAGGGCTCTCGTTGCAGTATCCCTCTCACTGTGAGTGCTAGTATCTCCTAGACACTATTCCTATGATTGATACTGCTGTGACTGTGAGGGATACTCCAGCTGCCCTGGGAAAACCTAAGGTCACCTTGAGGCCTAAGATGGGTTCACCATGGCTGGATATACATCTGAGGCTGGAAGGACACTCATGGGGTCAGGTGGCTCCTCTTGTGTGCCCCTGAATTCTCTCTGCCCACCACCAGAAACCCAGACCTAGAGCTGTGACCTGGTCCTTCCTGGTGACCACGTGGCCTGTGTCCTCTCCCAGCTGCAGAGGGATGCTCCTCATACATTCATCAGATTTCTGGAACCCTCCCGTAGCTTCACTGCTGCGTATCAGTTACAATCCAGCTCTTCACAGGAGCCCTGTGTGCCCTGCCCCTTGCCACATGCCCACTCCTCTGTCCACATGGCCTGTCAGTCCTGCATACCCCTCTCCAGCCCCGCTGTCCTCCTCTCTGTTCCTCCCAACACCCCCAGCCCTGTTCCTTGAAGCCTTCACATCTGCAGCAATGTCCTCCCCTGACCCAAGACCCCTGCATGCTGTCTGCTCTACCATCCAGAGCTCTGGCCAAATGTCCCCTCCTCTGGCCACCTGCCACTCCACCCTGCTTACTTTCTTTGAAAAGCTTATCACACCTTGAAGCTGCCTTCTGTATTTATCGCATCACAGTCTGCAGGGTTGTCACCGCCATGAGGACAGGGTCTCATTTGCTCTTTTTAATTCAAGGGCACCCAGAGAGGGATAAAAGGCAGACAATGACTGTACACAGAGGTGCTCAAGAACACTCAAGAACAAACAAACGGGAAGCCCTGCTTTCAAGCATCCTTTAGAGAGAAGACAACACAACCTTATTCTATAATAAAACAGATTCCACTCAATGGTGAAATTCCACCATGTGGTTGCCACCAACCGGGGACAAACCCATGAGGAAACCTTCAATCCATCTCAGGAGACAGAGAAGGGACCTGCCACCTCCTCCCTCTGTGGATGGCTTGTAGATAGCTCTCCTCGACCTCCTTCCTCACCCACGCCTGCCAAAAACTGCTAGGTTTAGACGCCCATCTTTCTGTTCTGTATTATCAATTGTTTAATATTCAAGAGATGGCATTAAATAAATATGTGAGCAATTATGTCATGTGTTTGAAAACAATCTGGTTAGTCCCAAAGTGCTTGGGCGAGAAATCAAACTAGATAGAGGCAAGAGGTCTGGGTGATCTCTGAGGGAGGAGGAGAGGCACGGCAGCCTGCAGGCCTGCTCCTTCCTGGTTCTGCTCTGGGGTTACTCTGTTCAGGCAGGAGCAGGGGCAGGTGGAAGTCTGCTGTATCTTCACAGTCAGAATCTCACAGTTGCATCCTGGATGCAAAGTTGCTACATGGGGTCTCAGTTTACTCGTTTGTGTAAAGGGTCAACTACATCTACTGGGGGAAGGGCAGGTCCTGGGAGGATGTTCTTAAGGAAGATAAGTTGGATCTGATGCTGGAGATGAGTGGTACAAGCTCTGGTTCCTGATATACCATCATACAGCAAGGTGGGTAGAGCGAGGTGAAAACAGGCCAAAAAGGAAGGGCTTCAGGAGCACATAAAAAGACACAGTTGGTTCTAGCAAAGGGCCAGGGAAATCTCATGGAGCTGCCATGTGTGCTAGTTCTGCAAGGWGAATGGCATTTTGACCCCAGGGAGAGGGCTGACCCATTTCAATAGCACAGATGAGGTACCTAGTGCATAACAAGTATTTATTGGGTACCTACCATGTTCCAGCTACTCTGGATTATCTTTGTGTAGCTTTTGTAAGATGCCATTCTGGTCTCCATTTTATGGATTAGGGCATGCTGGCTCAGAGAAGCTTCCTTAGTTGCAAAACTGGTATATTTTGAACTCAGATCTGAGTCCATCTCCTAAGCTCTTGATAACCACTAAACATACCACGACCACTCAGCCGACTGGCACTGTTGACCCTCTTAGCTCAAGCATGGGTCACAGCAAGCCCACCTCTGAGGCTTCATGTGCAGCCCAGATGGTRGAAGAAGGAACCAGGGCCAGGTGATGTTACTGGCCTTCATGTGAGCACCAGTCTCTCCTCCCAGGACAGAGGCAGTGTCAGAGTTGCCGGGGTCCCCCAGCAACAGTCAGGGCTGGGGCAGACCCTGGGAATGAAAACCATCTATCACGGAATGTCCTACTGCCTTCCCCCTTCAAGTTCTAATTCAACTGCAAAAGGGTTTCCAGGGAGTTTCTCCAAACAGGCCAAATGTTGCACAATGACATATGTGTCCCCAACAGGATAGCCCATGGAAAGCAGCTGCTTTCAAACACTCTGTGCTCCTGCTCAGTCGACCCTCCATTAACAACCTCTGCTCACGATACACTTGCTCTCTGCTCAGTTTGCCCTCCTCCCCCACAACAAATCCCCAGTGTCAACTCACCCCTCCACGTCTTCTGGTTAAACGAGAGGTGTCAGGCCTTGGAAAATGGGGCCCATGTCTTGCTGGCTCTGGGGACTGGGTGACGAAGTTCAACTCTGGAAAAGGGAAGAGATGGATTGGTTAGGGGCCACATGACCTGACTCAGATCAGGAAGTAGGGTCGGGAACAGTGRTGTGAGTGTCCCCTGAGTAATGGCTCTGGGCTAGGGCCAGTGTTGGGGGTGTAGATGTAGGGAAAACAGGGGTGCCCCTCCCCCAACTCCCCTCAGGGCTACACAGGACCCCACCCCTGCCTTCTGCATTGAGATCTGCCCAGGTGGGTTTCACCACTCCCAGGCCCCACGCTCATCTCAGGGCAGCAGGTCCATCTGCTGGTAGGGGTCAAAGTGGAATCTCCCTGTTGGTGGCTGGTGTGACCATGATGGTAGAGGGGGTATGGTGCAATGGTCACAGGTGTGTGCTCTAGAGARACAGAGGCCCTTCCTTGGCTAGTGGCTTTGAAGCCCCTGCTTCCCCACATGGAGAACAGAAAGAATACCCATTTCTTAAGATTTTTTTCTGAGAGGTAATGTTATGTATAAATACTTTGGCTTTAGAAAGGTTCAATAAACAGCAGCAGAGACCAAATGGATGTTATACGTGTCTTTATTGSCCCCCTTTTATTGATTGGTCTATCTCTCCACTCGTCCATCCATCCATCCRTCCACTCACCCATTCATCCATCATTCATCCACCATCTACCCATTTATTTTATGTATCACTTTTTTAGTTTGAAATAGATATAAATTTAGAGGAAATTGGAAAGAAATGTACAGGGAGGCTCCATGTACCTCCCTCAGACACCCCCCAAATTAACATCTTGCACAACCAGAGCGCATCATCAAAAATAGACATGTGAAATTGCACAATTCATAGACCTAATTCAGATTTTCCAGTTTTATATGCATTTATGTGTGTGCGTACAGCTCCAAGAAATTTTACATGTGGTTTTATGTAATCATCATCACAACCAAGATTCCCAAAGTGTCCCATCACCAAGAGGCCTCCTCAGCCTACCCCTTTATAGTCACACCCATTTCCTGTCAACTCTCATCCTTGTCCTCTAACAACCACCAGCCCATTCTCTATTGTATTAGTCTTTCAATGATTTAAACATGGAACAAGGCAATATATAACCATTTAGGGATTGGCTTTTTTTTTTTTTTAACTTGGCTTAATCCTCTGGAGACTCATCCAGGTTGCTGTGCCTATCAATAGTTCATTTAATTTTATTGTTGAGTAATATTTCATGCATGGATGTGCCACAGTGTGTTTAATCATTTACTCATTTAAGGACCTCTGAGTTATTTCTACTTTTGAGGAATAATTATGTATAATGCTCCTATAAACAATGGTGTATAGGTTTTTAAAAATGTGAACATGGTTTTCACTTATTTGTGATAAATTCCCTAAAGTGCAATTGTTGGGTCACCTGATAGTTGCATATTTTAAAAAGAAATTGCTCGGGGCTGGGTTTGTAGCTCAGTGGTATAGAGCTTCCCTAGCATGGGTGAGGCACTGGATTTGATCCCTCAGCAACACATTACAAAATAAATAAAATAAAGATATGTGTCCATCTACAACTAAAAATATTTTTTAAAAATGATTTTAAAAAAATAAAAAATAAATAGAAAGATATTGTTAAACTTTTCCAGAGTAGCTGTACTATTTTATATACCTTCCAGAAAAGCATGAGTGACCCAACTTTTCTGCATCCTTGTAGGCATTTGGAGTTGTCATTATTTTCCATTTAAGTCACTCTGATAGGTGTGGGATGTTATCTCATTGTGATTTTAATCTGCATTTCCCTAGTGGCTAACCATGTTAAACATCTTTTCATGTGAAATGAAAAAATGAGTCTTCAGAGAGATGACTCCTCATGTCTTTTTCTCATTTTCTAATTGAATTGTTTAATTTTTTTTTACTTTTGCATTTATGAGTTTCTTTTAAATGCCAGATACTGTAACCTTCTCAGATTTTATGGTTTGCTAATATTTTCTTCCAGTTTATATTTTTTCATTCTCTAAACAGAGGGGTGTGTGTGTGTGTGTGTGTGTGTGTGTGTGTGTGTGTGTAAAGCACAAGCTTTTAATTTTGGTGAAGTCCAATTTATCATTTTATTTTTCCTTTTATGGACCATGTGTTTGGTGTCAAACATAAGAACTCTGCTTCTTAGCCCTAGATACTGAATATTCTTCCCTTGTTTTTTTTCTAAATGGTTTATAGTTTTGCATTTTAAGTCTGTGATCCACTTTGAGTTAATATTTAAAAAAAACTTAGACTTAAGTTGACATTATTGTTACTATTATTGTTTTGCCTATGGATGTCCAGTTGCTCTAGCACCATTTATGAGATAGATTGTGATCTTTCCTCCACTGAATTGCTTTTGTTTCCTTGTTAAAATCTTCTGGGCATGTTGGTGTGGGTGATTTCTGGCCCATCTATTTCATTCCATTGATCTATGGGTCATYTTTCTGCCAATCCCAATTGGGCTTGATTTCTGCATAATGAATCTTGAAATCAGATAAAGTTATTCTTCTTTTCCAAAACTGTGTTAGTATTCTAGCTCCTTTGGCATACCACATGAATTTTAGAATAGTCTTTTCAACATCTACATAAATATTGTTGGGATTTTGATAGGAATCGCAGAGAAGTGATATCTTTATTATATCTTCCATTCATGAATACAGTGCTAGTCTCTTCGTTTACTTAGATCTTTGATTTCTTTCATCAGCGTTTTACAGTTTTAAGCGTACCAATCCTATAAAAATTTTTGTCAAATTTACACTTAAGTGTTTCATTGCTTTGAGTGTTATATAAGTGGCACTCCAATTTTTATTTTGCTGTCCACATGTGCATTGCTAGTACAGAGAAATGCACTAGATTTTTATATGTTTATCTTGGGTCCTATGACTTTTCTAAATTCACCCATGAGTTCTGGAGAGGTTTTGTTCATTTATTCCTGTTTGTATGTTTGTATATTCCTTTGAACTTCTTATGTAGACAATCAAGTCATGTGCAACCAGGGAGATTTTATTTCTTCATTTGCAATTCATATGCCTCTTTTTGTCTTCTCTTACTGAACCAGCTTCGACTTCTAGCACTATGTAAAGTATAAATGGTAAAATTTGGCATTCTTGCCATATTCTCGTTCTTAGGTGAAAAGAGTCAGTTTGTAAGTACTTAGTATAATGTTAGTTGTAGTGTTTTTTTTTTTTTTCAAATGCTCTTTATTAACCTGAGGAAGTCCCTACTATTCCCATTTTTCTGATGACTTTTTCATGAATGGGTATTGAATTTTCTTTTCATTCATTGACAGATATAATTACTGATATTCCTTCTTTAGCCTATCAACATGATGATTTATACTGACTAATTTTTAAATGTTGAACGAACTTGTATCCCTGAAATAGGTTCCCCTGGATCATGATGCATAATTCTTGTCATATATTGTTGAATTCTATTTATTAATGATTTATTAAAGACTTTCACATCTATATTCATGAAGGATATTGGTTGGTAGTTTTTTATTTTTGTTTTTGTTCTTTTTACTATTTTAYGGTTTTGATACTAGCTTCATAAATTCAATTTGAAAGTGGCCTTTCTCTACTTACTGGAATACATTGTAGAGAAATGGTGTTAAATTTCAAACATTTGATTAAGTTCTCCAGTAAAATTATCTGATCTTGGGGATTTCTTTTGAGGGAATTTTAAAATTACAGATTCAATTTAGTAATTATAAGAAAATTAAATTCAAGTTATTCATTTCATATTGGATGAACTGGAAGAGTTTTGTGTTTTTCAAGGCATTAGTACCATTTTCAATTTCTCAGGTTTATGTGAGTAGTGTTATTCATCGTATTCTTTTCCTATCAATGCCTGCAGGGTCTGTAGTGATGCCCCCTAATTCATTCTTGATTTTGGTCATTTTTCTGTTTCTGCCCCTCTGATTAGTATTGCTTGAACTCTGTTAGTGGTATTGATCCTTTGAAAGAATAGTTTCTTTGTTTCATTGATTTTCTTGTCTTTCTGTTTTAGATTTTTGATCTTTTCGTTATTATTTTCTTTCTTAGGCTTTTTGATTTCCTTTCTTTGGATTGAGATTATTTTTCTCTTCTTTTTTAAAATTTTTTTTTCCCAAAATGGGAGTTAGGACTATTGGTTTGAGGCTTTTTATCTTTGTGAGTAATGCCTAATGCCATAAAATTTCCCTCTCAACATTGCCTTAGCCATGTCCTACAAACTTTGATATGTTATATATTTATTTTTATTCAGTTCAACATATTTTAAAATTTATATTTAGACTTTCTTTTTGAACCATGAGTTATTTTATGTATATTATTTAGTTTTCAAGAGGTTGGAGATTTTCATGTTATCCATAATCTTTATTTTGATTCCATTATGGTCAGAGAAAATATGCTCTATAATTTCAACTCTAATTTTGCTGAAGCAAGTTTTATGACCCATCTTAATGATCAATCTTGGTACATTATCTGTGAAAGTTTAAAAAGAATGTGTATTCTGCTGTTATTTGGTGTASTCCATAAATATTATTAGATCCTGTAGTTCATGGTGTTGTTGAGTTAGTTGTTCTATCAGTTATTAAGAGAGGGGTGTTGAAGTCACCAGCTGTAACTGTGGCCAATTTTATCAGTTTTTGCTACACATATTTCGTAGCTCTGTTGTTTTGAGTATACACATTTAGGATTGCTATGTGTTCCTGATGGACTGATCCTTATATTAAAATAAGATATCCTCTCTAGTCCTAATAATTTTCTTTACTCTGAAGTCAACCGTTTCTGATATTAACATAGCCACTCCTACTTTCTTTTGGTTAAAATGTGCATGATATAATCTTTCTATCCTTTTACTTTCAGTCTTCTCATATCGTATTTGAACTATCTCATGGACAGTGAATAATTGGTCATGCTTTCCAATCCATTCTGCTAACCTCTGTCTTTTGAATAGCATTTTTGATCATCTATATATAATATAATTATTGATATGTTAAGGTTTAAGTGTGCCATTTTATTTTTGTTTTCTGTTTGTTCTTTTTAT